TAAGCTCTGGAGCAAACCCAGATACACCTTGCCCCTTCTGCCAGGGGCCAAAGCTCCCAAAGGAAAAAAAACTCTCCTTGTTCCCAGAGCACGACTCCTTGCAGCAGGTACATCCTAAATCCTAGACAGCACTGTGTCACGCCTTTCCCGGCCTGGCTGAAAACTGCTCACTGCTGAGGATAGCACGATGACTCTCCTGCCCTTCTCACTTCAACCCTAGTACAGGATGCGTTTTCCTTGCACCCCTCTCCCTCCCTCGGCATCACCGGAGTGCCTCCAAGGAGAAAGAGGCTTGTGCTCTCACTGCTGTCTTCCTTCAGAGCTTCACCCGTAAGCGTCAGTGCTTTCCCAGTAACACTGTACACAAACCCTATGATTTCACAGAATCATGGAATGGTTTGGGTTGGGAGGGACCTTAAAGACCATCTAGTTCCCAACCCCCTGCCATGGGCAGGGACACCTTCCACTAGGTCAGGGTGCTCAAAGCCTCATCCAGCCTGGCCTTGAAGACTTCCAGGGATGAGGCATCCACAGCTTCTCTGGGAAACCTGTTCCAGTGCCTCACCACCCTCTCTGTGAAGAACTTCCTCCTGATATCCCATCTAAACCTCCTCACTTTCAATTTAAACCCGTCACCCCTTGTCCTGTCACTACAGGCCCTTGATTTCTGCACCTTCACATCCACTTTTTTACAGTTTATATTCTTGGGACAATTAAATTTAAAGAGAAGGATGAATAGCCAGTCTAATGGTGTTAACAGCGCTTTCATTCTACTTAACTGAATTTTAAGTATGAAAAGGCCATTCCGGGATCAGGGATCAGTACCATACCTGCCCGTTTGATCAGCAGTTAAGGACCAGTACTACCACACAGTATAAGGTGCCTTGCCTACCTAGCTCCAACTAAAGCACAGTGGCTTGAGGGTGCTTCAAAAAGCAGCCTGGGCTGCACAAAGCAACTGGAATTTAAGAATCAGAGCGCTCAAAAGCGCCTTCAGTACCAGCAGCTGGGGGGCTACAGCCATGAGAATGAACACACGTGGTACTAACACGAGGGGTGGGAGCTCAGATGTGCACTTCAACGTAGCCTAAGACTACCTTTAAGAAGTAAAATTAGAGGCTACAGCGGCACAAGCAGCTGGAAGACGGCTGGCTGGACAACCATCTCAAGGGCAGGACCCGCATTCAAACAAGCTCTACACTGCCAGCTTCAGACCGCTCCCAGTACAGCCACCCAGCTGTACCTGGCGTGCGGGCACGAAAGGTTTGCGGTTAATTACACGGTCACTTTGCACAACCAGCTCCTGTAAAGCTCTGCACCAGGGTCTGAAGTGGACTATTAATCTGATTAAACCTCTGAATTAAGTAAACTAAGAATGCATTAATTCGATATAGACCAATAAGAAGCTCAAGCTGAACTAAATCCTCACCAAAAAGTCCACAGCGTGACTCATTTTCAGACAATTGACACTTCACTCTGTTTTAAATGACGAACCCACAGCCCAGACAGCCCAAAGCTTTGGGAGTCCTAGGACTGGACAGTAGACCTGCAACATGTTTCATCTCTTTTTCCACCCCTCACTCCCCACCACCACCTCCTTCCTTGCTGAAACACTCTCTACGAAGCTACAATGCGAGTTACTTATCAAACTTTCTGATACTACAGGGCTTGGCCCATCAGAATCACCAAATAGTACATTTTTGCCCCAGAGATACTGTTCCTTCATATGACAGAACCTCTCCATTCTTCAGAAAAAGTCTGTCACCATAATGTTTCCCATTTACTTCAAATTATGGCAGCTTTACCCTTGCGTTAGAGGGAAGCTCCTCATTTCTAACAGTAGGCAGGGTCAGCTTAGCATGTTTTGTGATCACTGCACTGTTAAGGAGTATCAGTTGTTTAGTTTAGTAAGTAAGTTTGTAATAGAATTAATCGCTCAAGCATTTAGCATTAGGACACAAGGGTTGCAGCATGATGTCAAGTAATTTAGTATACTGTTTGTTCAGTACCAACTGAGCATGAGTAGCTAGGTTTGCTAAAGCCTTAGGCCTCAAGCGGTAAAATTCCACTTAGATATGATGTTTTCGGGTGGGTTGAATTATTTTCTTCTTAGTAGCCAGTACAGTGCTGTGGATTTAATGCGAAAATAATGCTGACAGCAACAACAGAAGCATGAGTATTTTAAGTAGTGCTTATCCCAAGTTTAGTCTGGCAGAGAGCAGGTGCACAAGAAGCAAAACCAGAAGATAAGGAGGCTACAACCATCAACAAGATGAGAACAGCCAACAGCCCACCTGGGGACACAGAAATAATCCAACAAGGCATCCAGCAAACCACCATGGGACTGAGAAGGCATGTGAGGGGCGGGCGCAGGGTTTGTAAGGGTATAATTGCCCACGGGTTCATTGTTTGGGGTCGCTCTCCAGAGGCACCAGCTTGAGCTGGTGTTTTTTCTTTTCGCTGTACCATCTGAATAATAATTCAGTAACATTCAGTATCTGAGACTCTGCTGTGGGAAACCTAGGGCCGAACCTGGAAGGAGAGCAGCTCTCAAAGGTGAGAATGTGCACGTGAAAGGAGTTGGAAGGGGCACCTGTCGGCGCACTGGAGTCGCCCGCTGCGACAGTCCTCGCAGTTAAAGACTCGGGTGGTGCGTGCAACTCCCAGGATGGCGAAGGAGTGCTGGCGTGCTCTCTCCTTTAACACTGTGCCTCATCAAAGACGTGGCAATTGACCGGAAAGTTCATGAGAGGAGTCTCAGAAGTTGAATTTAAGCATCAGCTTAAGGAGTAAGGGAACTGACATAAAAAGGCTTACAACCATGCAACAGTACTAAGAAATTTCAGAGTGATTTAAAGTATGAGGGAGCCTGTTGTAGCATTGTTTTTTGAAGAGTATTTTAACATTTTAAACCTCTTAATATTGTTTAGAACAAGCAGACTCCCATGAAGTGGCTTACACTGCTTCAACTGCTTTATGTCCAAGACAGCTGAGCTTCTAAATGCTCCCCAGGGCGTTTACCTTGGCCTTACCCTTGCGCCTGTTAACCTTTCACTGCAATCTGACAGTAACCTGACAGTGGTCACCCTTCCTCCTGACACACAGGTATTTTTCTACAAGACAGAGTTTAGTTGGAAAGACTCTACTGTTAATGTACTGCTGCCTTTCTTACCCTAGATCGTGGTTCCTGCTGGGGTTCTGGGGTATTGTCTTCCAGGTTAAGTGATTGCAAAACAGTCTAATTTAAAACAACATACAAACTATAGTTTACTTAAAACATTAGGGTTCACACCTACCAAATGGGACAGTGAAGCTGTACAACTTTATTATGAAAACAACTGAAATACAGCTCTATCAGATGGATTTGACTCTCTCATCACAACACTGCGAAGTTCAGTCATTAGACTACACATTCTTGTCAGAGCCACGGGCAGTGGAACTCTTTCCTCTTCTCTGGTGATCTTAATCACCCAGATCAAGTGCCATTAGAAGTAGTTTCAAATGATTGTACCATATACCAAAGTGAATTTCCTGGATTTGGGCGAAGCTGCAGCATGCTACTCAATTCAATACAAAGCATTGTCCAGGATCTCCAAGACACGAACAACTAACTTCAACCCCCTCCAAATCTTACCTTCCCAATAAATGAGACAAATTAATTCAATGAGCACATCTTTTCTGGAAGTAGAACAAGTCTCTCCTAACAACAGGGAAAATTAAGCACATTTAGAGAACAACAAGATGAAAAAAGTAGTTTCTGCTCACGTTGCTATAGTCCGGAAGCATTCCTTTTAGGAAAGAGCAAGAGCAAATGAGTTTCTAAAAAGCAGGCAGTTCCAAAAAAAAGATTCAAGGAAGAGATTAACCCCCTGTTTTAGCTGCACTATTTGGTTTAGGAAAATTATTCCACACAAGGTAACATCTGCTTTGGAAAGACAGTTAACACCTAAACTGCTACAGACTTCGGCCCACTGTCACACAGAGGCGACCAGCACCTACTCTGTTCAGCTGCACTAACACCAAGGAGAAGCAGCCACTCCTGCACCACCACAGGAATAAACTGTTCTTTCTTTTATTGAATGGCTGAAGCAGGACTATAATCCAGGTATATTTATTTAAATCAAGCATTGGTCCACTCATCATCAAAAAGAAGTCATTTAGGGTTTCTATAACATCAACACAAATGGAAAGAATGTGAGGCATCTCAATAAGATCATTCAACTGTCTGTGACATCAAACCACGATCAGACTGGTGCTGCTTCAATACTTAGAGGTTCTCCACCATACAGACCAGCCCCACCAGTGTTATTTACCTCCAAATCACTACAGTTCCAGGTGAAGGATCCTTCCATCTACAGCTTACATCTGAGCCATCAACAGGAGGTCAAAATGCCATCTGTGCCACTAGAATCGTAGTCTTGTAGAAATATCCCTACATTTAGTATTTTACTAAGGAATAACTACTGTCGTCTCTGAAGTGACATACAGCCATTATAAATATTTACATCAAACATTTACAACTGGTTCATAATATACAACACAACAATTTAGCTATCATTTCTAATCTTCCAGTGTAGAAGTTCCAAACAACGTGTTGTTACCGTAATTTCAACTGACCAGTTTTGCAAACAGGCACAGGCAGTACAGGGCATTTCAAAAACTTGGTACATGATTAAAAAAAAAATGGAATGATGTTACTTTAATAACTCCCCCAAACTAATTGTTTTCTTGGGCATGCTTTTTTTTTTTTTTAAACAAGCAGATTTCAGTTTCTAAATCCCAGCTGGTGCTACTACTAACATTTAAAATAAGCTGGGGGGGGGCCACAATTAACCATGTCAGAATATTTGTTTTCCACACAGTTTAAAGCAGACCTTAGTCTTCAATAAACACACCTTTAAAAAAATTCCACAATTAACCATGTCAGAATATTTGTTTTCCACACAGTTTAAAGCAGACCTTAGTCTTCATCATTTCCTTGCACTGAAACACAGCGTAGTTCAATCCATTCTGATCTTCTGATTTGTCATCCTATAAATAATGCTGTCATACCCAGGATCCATGTTCCAGAGGTTGTAGGAGATAACTATCACAGCTAGAGCAAGACCTATCATCATCCATAGAATAATGTTGAAGATTACAGAGTAGTTGTAGTTATATGGATAGGCAAGGTTATATGGATTTTCCGTTTTGACCTGTAATAAAGAAGAAGATTAAGTGTATTATTTTAAAGTTATCTTGCATATATTTTGCTGGTTAGAATAAAGATAAAATAACAAGAATTTAACAAGCACAAAACTGAGTGAAATAGAAGATATACAACAAAAATCTAAACGGCGAAGGTTAGAAGGAACATGGAATATAAAAAGACGTGACAGAATGATCACAGAATGCTGGGGGTTGCGAGGGACCTTCGGAGATCATCTAGACCAACCCCTCTGTCAAAACAGGTCCCTCTAGAGCAGGTTGGACAGGAACACATCCAGGCGGGTTTTGAAGGTGTCCAGAGAAGGAAACTCCATGACCTCTCTAGGCAGCCTGTTCCAGGGCTCAGATGGGGAAGGAATAGGTGATGGGGAGGAGAGTAGGATGCAAGTGGAAGAAAAATATTCAAAAAAGCAAGAGTAAAAGAAGTAAAAACAGATTTCAAGGAGCTGAAACAGTGAAGCATTAAAAACCAGAAGGTCCATTCACTTTCCACACAGCATTAGAGAATGAACTGGGGAAGGAAAGTTAACAAACTGGGTAAATGGAACCCTTACCACTCTGGATGGTGAAGCCCTGGAACAGGTTTCCCAGAGAATCTGTGGATGTCCCATCCCTGGAAGTGTTCAAGGCCAGGCTGGATGAGGCTTGGAGCAACCTGGTCTAGTGGAGTGTGTCCCTGCCCATGGGAGGGGGTTGGAGCTAGATGGTCTTTAAGGTCCCTTCCAACCCAAACCATTCTCGGATATAAAACCACATTCCAACTACATCGAAAATTTGAGCAATCTGCATGGGAGAGATGCATTTTTCTCTAGACAACTCTGATGCTAGGGCACAAAATGCAAAAGCAGTTATGTGACCAACATCAGTGGAAACCAAAGAAATGGGGTGACAGAAATTCCAAGAGGATGAAGGCTGTCCCTGTCCCTCGGACAAAATAACCCCAGGTGACAGCGCAGGCTGAGCAGCAGCTCTGCAGAGAGGGACCTGGAGGTGCTGGTGGAGAAGGTGAACCAGAGTTGGCAGCATGTCCCTGCAGTGACAAAGGGCAACTGCATCCTTGGCTGCATCCGGAGCGTGGGCAGCAAGTCAAGGGAAACAGTTCTTTCCCCACCCGAGAGGCAGGGCCTGCACGCAGTTCTGCGCTGGGCAGCAAATGGCAGAAATGCAACTTCTAACAAGACACAAGGGAAAAAGTTTTCACAGTCAAAGTGGTTATGACTTTGGAACAAGCTGTCCAGAGAGGCTCTGGGACTTCAGCTATGGACTTTAAGAACTCAGCTGGACAAGGACCTAAGCAGCACAATCTAACTCCTAAATTAATCCTGTTTGAGCAGTAGGTCAGACTGGATGATCTGCAGAGGCCCTCTTCAACCTGAATTACTATATGATTAACTGAAGATCAAGACAGGTAAGCTGACCTCTTCACATCCATGCCTACACTGTAGTCAGTATTCTAGTCCTTTAAAAAAAAAACAACCCAACCCTGTTATGCTCAAGTGAAGAAGTGATGCAGCTTGGATCCCTTTTAATAAATTATATATACAGAAAAGTGCATCTACTACCTCTGAAGACTGGAGAATGGAGCGAGTCTTCCTCGTGAGCGGAGAATTAAATGCTTTTACAGCCACCACTTCTACTACAGCATTCCCGCCATACAGATTAAACATCTCATCTGCAAACTGGAAAAGCCAAAGTAATTTAATTTAAAACCTACACCACAGCTAGGATTTAAGAAGAGATTTGTTAGCAAGATGTACTAAACCAGAAGATGTCAGCTTCAGGAATAAGCAGCTTATGGTAAGTTGTAAAAATTGACAGTATTTTAGAATTCCTCTAAGAAACCACAAATTTTCACCTGGTTTACACCACCTCTTTAAAACCCCTCAACCACCGTTCAGCAGACTGTAGCTTATGACTGCTTTCTGGGCTGAAACTCCTTCTTGCATCCCTTTTACGAAAGGCCCATCACCATAGAGTTTCCCAATTGTATGTCTGCCAATTTCAACAAAACTGAAACAAAATCTCAGCCTTCTGATGGGAAATTATGAACCTGAATATTTTAAATCTGGTCCAAAGACTAATTATGACTAGTACTGAAATACATTTGCTTAACTGCAAAGAGGTGGAAGAGTAATGTTTAGAGAAAACGGTTATTTGGCCTCGCAAATTCAAGCTTTGACATTTTTCCATCACGCCTCTGAAACTCCCCGAAGTGATGGGTTTTAATAAAGATTTTATCTATGTAAGATACGCTAAAGAATTACTTCCTTGGGCACGCTGACGGAAGAACAGCGGTTATTTTAGAGCCTGGGAAACTTAGATTTATACAGCTTTGTGGGCAAGAGGAAACTAGCCACTATACACTGGGATAAAGAGCCAGTTTTTGCATTTAGAACCACCAGAACATCTCGCAAGGTATTTATTTCAGAAAAACAGACATAGCAAGTCACGTTGATACACAGTTTCAATGTATCCTTACTCCTTTACGCAAAATATCTGACATTGTAGAACCATGTCAACACTTTCCAGACTAACAAATTATAAAATTGAGTGTCACAACTGAACAACTGCATTTTAAAAACCAAACAACAAAAAAAACCCAAGCATCAGTCAAGGCATCACTAATGAAGTTACAATTCATTGCAGAAGACGGTCAATAAACTAACTCCCTTCTAGTTAACTTAAAAAATTATTTCCTAAGTATCCCCCGAGTTTTGTTCATGATGTAGATAATTTACCTTTTGCAAAGAGTCCGCGAGAATTTGAGAAGCATCCTTGAACTGCTGAGAGTCTTCCCCGTATCGTTTTCCAACCTCTTCCAAACCAGCCAGTTCCAGAGAATACAGGTCTGGAGAGTGGTCCTTGGCTAAGTGCTTGTGTCGAGACAGCTTTGGCACACCATGGAGGGCGGAAAGAAGTTAATTCACGCACAAGTGCTTTCAAAAACGCATTTCACAAAATCAGTTTGCTGGGACTAATCCAGCCTCACTTCCCACAGTCGTATTCTTTATTGATCAGGAAGTGAAATTTCTTGTCAACTTAACTAGAAGATATCCACAATTGTTTATTTCTTTATTCCATATAAGAAAGCAGATGCTCATCATTAGCAGCTATTCCTAGCATCACGTTATATACATGTAATATAGAGCTCTACTAGAAAGAACCATTATATACTTATTCACATCAGAATTCTTGTTCTGTAATTGCTGTAAAAATAAATCTTGGATAACTACGTAACTACAATACTTGGATACTACTATTTCCCCCGCTGAAGCTGGCCCTTGCAAAATGGAGTAGGTTGCAACTTCTCCCTTTCTGCTGCCCATGTACAAAAGGAGTATCACCTCATCGACATAAAATCCAACCAATATAATCCCAATTATCTCAAAGGAGAGTAATGATATTCTTGCACTTCTACAGATATGAAGCTGTAGCAGTGACACTTGCCTGGACAAGAGAAGAGCCTCTGAAACCAAGGAATTTAATCAGTTCCTATCTTCCCTATCTACTTGAACTACACTGTTTCTAATCTGCAAGACAAAAACAAGTTGTTCTAACTCATTTCCTCATGAGTCCCATTTCTCTTCACCAGCCCTTCACCTAACCTGAGCTCCTGAGTTTTTCCTGATTGTTTCTTTCACTTGAAGCAGCTGAGGGGTGCAGCTTAAGGGACAAAAAAATACCCAAAAAAACACCACCCAACTCCCGCACGCCACAAAAACACAAACCCTAAACCACAGCAACAGGACAGTAGCTTCTTAGTAAAAAGACTACAAGAAGCTTTTTGCTTAAAAAGATCAGAATTAAAAGCTCACCCCTCCAGTGGAACATTTCAATCACCACCACTATTCACACTACGAACATCACTCCAGGCTTTCCAGATAAAATGTTATGGTGATATTTTGAAGTAAAATGGTGGACAAGGCAAAGACCGTGTTCTTAACTCCCATTATGCTTCTCAATTAAGAAGACAAGGAAAGCCCTGACAAATTCTCCACTGAGTACTTCCCATGTCTTTTTGGGTATGGAGAAATAAACAGCAGCTCAGAATTCCTGCAAAAAAAAAAGAAATTACAGATGATTAATGTCCTCATTTTCTTCTACCAGTGCCGGCCCTGACACACACAGCTTGAGAATGCATTACTTCACCTGACGCAACCAACTGATGACACACTTGAGCATGTCTCACTGGTTGCCAAGTATCCTGGCTTCAGGTTCTCTACCTTTAAACGAGATCTCGGAAGTCTGTGACATAAGATAGGCAAAGCGGTTCCAAAAAAAGTCTTACCAGGCTTGCAATGTCATGTAGGACTTGTAGTTCTGACAGAAAAAGCAAGTCAACCTGAGGGAAGAGGCAGGAAGAAAGAGACAGGTATTTCCTTCAATGAAACTAAAATTAGGGAAATCTCAATATTTTATAACAGGTTACATCTGTTACAGCATCAGAACATGCTAGAAGGAAATTACTCTTTCAATAGTTACTTTAAAAAGAACTTAAAACTTACTTTTTAGAATTCAGTTAAAAAAAAAAAAACACACAACACAGCAGGGTGGGGTCTCCTAGACAAAGCAAGGGAGGGAGTGGGGGGGTTGGGAGCACAACCTAACCAGTAACATTACAAAGAAACCTTAAAAGTTGCCACTGATTAAAGTTTTTTACCTCATTGTTTCTGCTGAGGGAGTTGAGAGGAAGGGAGCTGAGAATGGAGTTGTCCTGGAACAAGCGGTTTCGCAGCTGGCGCAGCGTGACAGAAAGGTCTTCAAACACAGAGTTTGCCTTGCCCACCATGTACACTCTCTGCAGGAACAGGCATTGTTTCATAACACCAGAGCTTCGTTTTGGGTTTTCTCCATCACACATTAATAATCACACTTGCAACCTCTCTCCAATGCGAAGTATGTCATATAATCAACCAGTTGTGCTCCAGCCACACAAGTGGAAAGAGGTGCACAATATAGAACATCTGGAATCAGAAGTGAAGCAATACTCACTTCCTCACTGGGGGCCAGCTGCAAGACCACAGGAGTTTCCTCAGAGAACAAAGTATGAATAGCATTCGCAACGCTGTCAAGACTGAAAGGAACAGCCTGGAAGACAAGATCTAGTTAGATTTTTGGGTAAAACTGAGCTTAACAATACACAATGAAATAATCTGCTGAAGTGCAGAAGTCTGGAAAAATAGGGCAATCTCTTTTTGATCACAAAGTATGAATATTTCCAAAGTGAAAATAACAAATAATAGGAGCCAATGTGCAAAACATCGACCGTGTATCTATGAACAATTTATTTCTATATATGGTGGACACAATATATTTTGAAGAACTCCTAGGGGCCATGCCTGTGTAATTAGGAGGTTTACTTAAGCTAAGGTTATAGCCTTGTTTTATCAGTAAAGCAAGACCAACAAATATAGAAGCGATACTTCATATATATATATATAGGAGAACATGCTTTGGTCAAACAAGTTGCTGAACTCAAGACAGGAGGCTCCGAGTGATCTTAAAGGCCTTGTAAAGGAGCCGCCTGGATTATTTACCTATACAGCCTGTATAGCTAATCTTGGTGGGGGCAGCAGGCAGCAGCCACTATTCCTGGGCCAGCCCTCCGCTTCCACCTCTTGGCCCTGAAGCTGGTGGGTGCACACACCCACCGACACCAAGCAAAGCAAGAAATAAGTGAACTTCAAGGACTACAGTAGAGTCACCCACTTCTCATGAGATCACAAGAGTCCCAGAAATCACATGACAGTTCCCCTTGTGGATACTCACATTCTCGATAGGGTAAGAAATCCCTCTTGCAGGCAACGCCAGCTTATCCACTCCCTTCACTGTTACCAGCACCGTAGCACGTGGTCTGTGAAACAGATCGCCCACTGCAAGCCCAGGCCAGGAAAGGTCCTATTACAGAACAGCAAAAAAGACTTGTATTTCACAGGGAGAAAGAGAGAATCTCTCCCACACCATTACAGCAAAACAACTTACTGTCTTGCTAGTATTTCTGTGCAGGACAGCCTGTTGGAAATTTCACAGGGAAGTAAGTTAATACTAGAATGCTTTCATCTTGAATAATGCTGTATCAAGTTGACCACGCAGAAACTGATAGTTTAAAAGCTGCCCGTAACTTCACAACAAAGTCTACACTGAGGAAATGTTATAAATATTGGATTTATCAAGAGTTGTTTCCCATAATTAAATTGAAAATATCATGGTCTGTATTTAATAAGTGAAGGCTGAATTTAACAAACCAACAAACCCAAAACAAACCTTTCACAGAGCACCACAGAAACGGTTTGAGGCACATTAAAACACTAACATCTTGATATCTTCAGTACCAGAAAGAAACAAGGAGGGGCAGCTAGGGAGGGGAGTATCAGTCAGACCAGCAGCCTACTAATCTAAAACTTACAAATTTGCATAGAAACATAAGAATATTCCTTAGTAGCTCATTAGAGTTACATATGGGTATGAGCACAGTGAAGGCTACCTAGCTGGTTTATTCAGGCACAAAATAAAAATTGATCTATTTGGAATGAATTCAAACAGATTTCTCTATTTGCGTAAAAGACAACTGCTTGTTCAAGTTTTACGAAACCATTTTATTTGGATTTTATAATTAAATATCATTGACATTATGATCAGTATCACCTCAAAGAAACAAAAAAACCCACCCCTTTTAAAGCATCATCAGGGACAAAAAAAGGGGTTCAGTTTTATCTTGCCTTAACAAGGGAGGAATACTAAGTGACTGGTTTTGAGAATCCCCAGTGCAATGCAGTCAGAATTCTAAATCCTCTATGGTAACCCTACTGCACTGTCTATGCTCCTAGACTACAGCCCTGATGTAAACTGCAAAAGGAGTGTATGGGCCCTGCAGTATTCTCCGTACCAGGGCTGGAAGCTGCTTACACAGTGATCTCTGCCTTAGTGACCAGGCTGAGAACTTCCAGTGTCAGGGCTTAGCTGAACAGAGTAATTTAAGTAATTTAAACACTTCCTTCCCCGCCTGCTTCTAGGATTTGAAATAACAGTAATAGAGAACTATTTCTAAAGGATGCTAAGGACCCATCACAACAGATGAATTCTAAATTTAGGCAAAGGCACAGAGTGAGTACTGAAACACTTTATTTCCACGATAAGCGTGTTATACCTCCAGACGAACAGTATGCCACAAGTCAAGTGTTCACAATGGGCCCAAGCCCATGTTGGTTTTGGGTGTCTTTACATGCAAAGCACACAATACCATCTGAAGTATTGTTTTTTCTTGATAAAATCATCAATCATATAGAAATAAGAATTTCTGTTACTAGTTTAATGACAAAAAAGCATAATCCATTTTCAGACAAATTCCAAAACACAGGCTAAACAGACCTGCATTCAGACCTCTTGCTTGGCTGCAGTATGGAAGAAATGGGAACCAGCCTCCCTCACCAGCACTGTGAGAACACCCCAGATTGTAGCTTTGAGCATCTGCCCGCACACTGACACCGCTAGAGACGCCTGGCTATTTAGCTTTCCCATACTGCTTCAGTACTCATCCCTCCTGAAGCTCAGCAAAAAATCCAGTAGGCATGATGGAATCAATCCAAGGGCTCCTACTCATGTGCCCCCCTTTAAACATCACTAAAGCTATGTTCAAAAGCCTAATTTGGGAAACACTACCACAAATTAGATTTTTCAACTCTGGATTACTTCCTATTTGTTCTTATTAACCGTGCTCAGCAGACAAGCTTGCTGACCTGACAAAGTGCCTATCGAGCCAAGCTATTTCTCACAATCTTCAGATTACCCAAGAGCAGAGCCCTACAGATATAGTTCACAGGCAAGAAGTGACAGTGGTTTCCACTGATTCTCAGTACGTGGCTAGGGATGGGAGGATACAGCATGTAGCTCGGTCTTAGAAGAACTGAAGGACATCACAGTAAAGACTCTGCCGGCTCGCTTCCTTTTGTAGCTGATGATTCAAATGAGCCGGCTAGCACAGCCTGTTGCTGCTCATATGACCGACACAGCTCTACGCTTGGAAACCACACTTTGACAAGTCATGCGTTCCTCAAGACAAACTGGATGATATTTTATATATTCCAGCACATGACAGGAAGATCTGCATGGTAAGTGAGCAGGTGTGTGGTTTCAGAGGCACTGGAAAAAATCAAGACCTGAAACGTACATCTTCAACAGAAAAGCCCATGGATAATGCAGCTATATCTGGGATCCGCTCGCCAGGAAGGGGCCAACTTCCATCTCGAAAAACAACAGACTGAGGTGATCGTAAGACATTAAATTCATCACCGCATACACCTAAAAAACAAACAAAAAAAGCTGTCAGGATTTTTCAGTCTTTCCCTTACACCACAGAAAAAGTGTATTAGAGTTTAACAAGATTCCTTAACTCCTCCCTCTCATACCTATCAATTTATGTGACACAAGTAACGAGAATCAATTGTTTTAATGCTCTGCAATACAAAACAAGGTTTCTACACCGCAATGACTAAGGACAGACAAATCCACATTAACAAAAGCAGAACATTCATTTAAGCAACAGCCAGTACACTGCTGCATACTCACTAGCAGGTTGGGAGCAGCGTTACAGTTCCGATCTGGTAAAGCTAACTCTCAGTAGAAGCAGGCAGACTCCAAAATCCTGTTAGCTCACAAGCAACTATGCACCAACACGGCTCTGTTTGCCTCCAGGACTGCCCGACATAACCCCTCTTTTCATGCAGACAACAGCCTGAGCCACTGAACCCAGTGCCAGGAGGATCAGCAGAGTCAGTGCTGGCTTAAACAGAGCACTGCCAAGAACAGTCTGGCTTCTGCAGAACAGCTCCGGTGTCTCTGCTCTGCCTTCTCAACCACATGACATTGTGAGATGTTTTTCTTCCTCAGATGAGGTGCTGGACCTAGGCTGGCTGTGTGAAGTCCCAGTCTGTAATACTTCTTATGCTGCGTTTTCATTTATTTGCGATCCCCCACTTCCCTCTTTTCCCCATTACCCCGTATAGCAAAGTTGACTAAAAGCACTGTTTCTAATCTGTATTAAGACAACAGTAATTTATTGCGTAATGAAGTCAGAAAGGACTTCTTTCAGTTTAGCTTCCTGTTTTAAAGTCACTCAAGTATAACCTGCAATACTGTGTACACAAACATTTATCTAAATAAATTTTAAAACATATTTGGTGTATATAAGCAGTGAGATGCACAATGCAAAACTTCAGACCTATCCCCCCCTAATAAGCAATCTCTGTAAGTTTCTATCAGACAACTAATATGATACAAGGCTCCAGAAAATCATGGTGGAGAACAATAAATACTTGCAGGCCATCCAGTTTGACTGCACAGTCAGTCTGACTACATATTCCAAAATGATGTGAATAATATAACCTTCTAAAAATAATAATAATAAAAAATCCAAACAAAACAAACACCACCACCCAAACCAGAAGTATTTACTCATATGATCACTGAAAATTAGTTGCCAATCCAAGCAGCTACATAAAACAGTTTTCCATGGCACCTGAAAACGTAAAGGCTATTTACAAAAATAATTCAAGAGTAAACAGATGCATTGTGCAGTTATAATCTTCCCTAACATTAATTTAGCCAACCTGACCTTGAAGATGCACATTGAAAGCCTGAATCATGAGCGTGCATACAAATGTTGACAGTAAATCTGAGTTATTTTATGATAAACATACTAAAGGAACAAAGTACTGCGATGCAGGTCAGGGAAGGGTGGCAAAAGAAATGAAACAGGTCAAACCAACAGATGTATATAGAGCAGATTCAAGCATTTTTTTGGTTTATACTCATGCATGCACTGGATGGCCTGCTGTCAATTTTAATGGTGTATCAACCTGTATATGGAAGAATGGAAATGTCTGCAGACCAGTTGGCTTAGGAAGGAATTTATAAAATTGCCACAAACATTTTTGTTCAAGTCTATAGGATTTCACATGTTGCTTTGATTATCCACAAGGCTATATAATACGGTCACACACATTACTTGGGACAAGGCTGCTTAAGATGGATAAAATTAGAGCATTACCCTTTTTTTAACCAAATTCGCCTTCCTAGGCCTGTTGAAGGTCTCAATGAGCAAAACTGAATTTGAACTTGGGAACACAAGCCTTTTCCTCAAATACGCTATAATTGCTTGACTGCGACACTCTACTGGGCCATATATGATCCAGGCTGGACGAGGCTTTGAGCAACCTGGTCTAGTGGAAGGTGTCCCTGCCCATGGCAGAGGGGTTGGAACTAGATGGTCTTTAAGGTCCCTTCCAACCCTAACCACTCTGTGATATACAGCGAAGTCTAGAGAGTATGTTCTGAGACTCAATTCATCCTGCACAGTTATCCACCCACCTAGAGAAAACTTAACCAAACCTCTACCTTACCAAAGCTGCACCTCGGAAGTCTTTGTGAGCCTGAAGAACTAAGGCACGCTGACTGAAAGCCATTTATGGGGCCTGGAAGCCTGAAGCGCAGGCCAGACGCCTGCCTCGCAGTGAGCGACAGAAAGCCCCCAGCGAGCACAGCAGCAGCTCGGCCGTACGTGACCATCCGTACACGGTAACGAAACGACGCCTACCTGCACAACGCTCCGCTCGGGCTTGGCTAGGAGGAGAGAGGGAAGTCTCCCAGCAGCCTCCAGAGGAGGTGTGAGGGGGGGTCAGCCCTCCGCTCCACCTCTCGGCCCTGAAGCTGGTGGGCGCGCACACCCGCCCGCACCGAGCGCCGCCCACGGGTGGAAGACGCCCCGGCGCTCTCAGCGG